CTGACTAGACGCGTTACAACCAGCTTCCAATTTTTCATTCACTTTACATCGGTTAAGTTCATATGCCTGCCTAGGCTACTACTCATTTTTTAAAGTGGGATTGTGACAATGTAATGACTTAAATCGTACCCCTTGAGCGGAACTTTGACTTTGTTGAGTTCTTTACACCAGTCTCTACAGCATCGCGTCTTCCGGCGCTTCCTTCCCTTCGAGAAATAATTCGGATCTACAATCTCAGAGCACAGAAACAATTGTCGCAAAATTTCCTCCTTCAACCCTCTTCCATAAATAGTCTTGTGGGCTGCGCCGGCAGTCTTCTTGATGCCTGTGTTCTCGAGGTCGGTCCTGGACCTGGTGGGCTCACCCGAGCCATCCTGCGTCAAAGGCCTCGGCACCTTGTTGTCGTGGAACTTGATCGGAGATTCATTCCCTTATTAGAAGAACTGCGTCTCTCAGCTTGCGAAATGGGTGTAAAGATGGACATTTATCGTGGAGTAAGTAGGCTCTCTTTTACATTGTAATGGATGCCTTATTATCCATTGCAGTCTCCTCTCTGCTATTGTTGAAGTACATTTGCATCAGTCCTTATTCGTTCTCTGTTTGTATGTTTTACCTATAGGATATTCTAAAGGTGAATACCGGGGACATATTTAGTGTGACAAGCATACACCAGTCTGAGACTTGGGGTTCTGCGGTTAATAATGTGATATCAAAGTTGAATGGAGTATCAACAGCTGTAGTCGAAGCCGGCATGGAGCGTCCACCGCGTGTTCGCATTATCGGTAATCTACCATTTAGCACTTCAACAGCTTTGCTTATTTCATGGCTGGACAACATTGCTAATCACCGCCAGATTTGGCGCCTTGGGCGGGTGCCCATGACGCTCACCTTTCAGAAGGAAGTTTGCGAACGTCTCGTGGCCGACGTCTGGGATGAGCAGCGGTCTCGGCTCTCTGTGATGGCTCAGGCTTTTTGTGAGGTCATTTTTACTATATGTAAATTAAGTAGCATTAATTTGATAAAAGTATAAGTGCTATGGATTTATAAAGCAATGCCCGCGGCCTCTTGATCTCACTTCCACTGATTTTTTAACAATTCCTTGCATGCGCAGTTGAAGTAGTATATTATTTGAGCTGATTGGTTTCCATCACTTTCAACTGTGTTCAAGAACTCACCATTCAACTTCCGGTTAAATGCTAATTATAAACGGCTATTTTTATTACCACTGATGGCCTCATAGTGTTTGCGAGTTTGATGCATGTCATTTTATAACGTTTTGCTAGCCGTGTAAACAATGAAGCATTCTGAAAAAACTGATCACTAGATTGGTGACTTAACGCGTTGCAGGTGCAATTCCTAAAGGTAATTCCTGGTTCAGCGTTTGTTCCTCAGCCCAAAGTGGATGCGGGTGTAGTACGGTTGATCCCTCTCTCGCAGCCACTCATCTCTGCTCCCTTCCCCTACGTTGAAAAATTGGTTCGTCATGCCTTTCAGTTCAGGTGGGTACTATATCGCCGTCTCTGTCACACAACTTCAGTCTCCGTATCACACATCTCACGATAATGAACACGAGTTTTTATGCTCATTGAGCTCTTGATTTTACCAGTTTTTATATGAAGCGAGTGTTGTTGCCAAGATGCACTATTCTTAATAGTTATAGGATATGGAGTTCCGTCCGGATTAATTTGATTCGGCATCAATCATCAGCATCTCGGGAAAATGTTTTCTTGTTAATTATTTTAGTGTTTATAACAGTGAAAAGTACTAAGCAATTGTGCATTGCTTTTTAAATGGTTGAAAATCATCATCTTGGATAAGGGCTGCTCCAACTCTTACAGCTTTTTGGCAGAAGAAACGATTTTTTAAAATTTATTCTTATGTTGGTTGAAATCCAATAATTTCAACTGAACTTGCAGTAGTTGTAATTCATTTTGGGCGATTGGTTGTAAGTCTAAATTCAGAACTATAGTAGTTAGCTATTGTTCAATTGACTCATCATAAACCGAGGCATTTTTGTGGTATAAAAATACCTAGGAAGATTTTGCATTGAGCTTAATGAATAGCTGTAACTATGCGTTCTATTTCTGACCTCTGCTTGATGCTTATATCGCTATAGTGCGCCATTTGTGTCCAACCAATAGACTCAAGTCCTGTGACATTTTTGTGGTTGTGAAGTGGAAGTGAGCAGCACAGAAGCGGGGAAAACATATTTTCATTCCTACATGGGGAAAACTTTGCGTGTTATTCCCCATTTCGATAAAATGCGACCTCTTTAGTGCGCTTACTTTGGAATTCCGCGCAAGTGTCACACAAGAGCACTCTATTCCCATTCGCTCGCGAATTAAAAAAAAATTCTGCAAACGGTTTCAAGCACGCCATTTTTAGGGTGCTGCGAATTCAGGATCTTAGATCCTGGGGACATCGTATCTATCGGCTTCTCAGGGTTGGAATTTATTGCTTAGTATAGTAATTACTTTCTTGGATGGTTCAACACTGATATGCAGACGATTGCTTTTAGTTACACGTTTATCTGTCTTGCGTGATGCAAGGATTAAAAGTTCGTGTTCTTCGAAATTAAGAATCATTCCCGTTTTATATTTAATGGTGTTTTCTACTTGTTACATGTCTCCACCTCGTACATGTTCAAAATGTATGTCGTTTTCCTATGGCGTCAAGATGTTGCTGGATCCGTTTTCTAGTATGCTTGGGAAAGCTTTCGATTAAAAGTTTTTGATGGGAAGAATATCAATTGTTTTTAATTTGTCATTATTTCTTTCCTGAAAATCTGGTTTACATAATGCATAGCTTCTTGTTCAATGACATCTACTTACATCTGTATACGTTCCTTTTAAATGCAGGCAAAAACTAATTGTTAGGTGTCTGGAGAGTCTCTTTCCACCGGAGCGACCAGACCTTGTTATTCGGCTGTTCAAGGAAGCTGCAGTACAACCAATGAAACGTCCCATCCAGGTGATTTCTGTAGTTATATCGTTACTAACTTATCAATGTTGTTAATTTACATTCATAAATGCTATAATATGTGGGTTTTTTGAGGCTCAAGCCGTTGTCCTCATTACTGTTCCAACCTTGTGCGCCAACGATCTCTCTATTTCCGATAAAACGTGATACTTTTTCTTACAAGTTACCGGAACCCTATTTCGGTTATGTAAAAGGTAGCTCAGATTATGGAAAAGGTATTTCTTTTTAACTCTCTTACGTGCATGTTTGAGTCATTAGATTGTTCCCCCAAATTAAATTTTATATGGCAGCAAAGACATGACAAAACTCATTCGAGATCGGTGTAAAAATATTGTTTCAAAGCATAAAATTTCTTGCAGCTATAATTGGTAGAGGTAATACGGACTCATCATATCTGTCGTATAATATGGACCTTGTCGGGGTGTTCATTTACGAAGTAGCTCAGATGTCGTTTGCTTATCGCCCGCAACATTGCGAACGGTGTTATCGTAGGGCACATAATCCAAGATTCTCCATTCCACAATGAGTCCGCGCTGCTTAGTGGCCATAAAGATGAAAATGTGCATAATTGAGACAAGATTATCACAAACATAAAATGGGACTTGTTCAGTGGTTTTTATTTGATAGTAAAACCACAATGCTTATCAGCACAGTAACTAAGCCTAACGAGCGTTCTTCTATTTTTGGTTTTTCGCCTTTGTGCTGGACTATTGTTGAGCTGACTCACGTACTTCTCAATGAGACATGCTGACATCGTTCAAGGGGCACGTATTTTCAAGTGGCTTTGACGTTTTGGCCTTGAATTTCAAGCTACACATAACGGTGAATTCTGACTGCTGTTTATTTTATGACTTTCTGGTTTAGACTTGGAGTATAATTGTGTTGTTGGCGGTATTCGACGCTGCTTAGATATAACCAACCGGTTGGCCTGCTCGAACTCAAGTAGATTTCTTGATCATTTCGTATCTTTTCTATTAGCACAGAACTGTTGTGATTTGGGAAACGATGCAGGACGCAATGGAGTTATGACCTTCATCAGGCGCTCTTACGATAGTGGAGATTTGCACATCATTCTGATCCGAGGCGAAGTAGGGGATTGAAAATGAAGCGGAGGGAGTTGCCTCGACGTAGTACGCAATTGAGTTAGTGAAACGACAAACTTATGTGATACCCTTTTTTTCGTACTATTAAGCGTTTCTTGTTATCGAATGATGTTTCTAACCGAGACTTTTTTTTATCTCCTCACTTGGTCGCCAGATTCACACACCAGTCCTCTGATTTCCATTATCCTTAATCCGATGTGAATGACGGAGAAGCCTTTCTTAAACAACCAGTGGATGTGATTGCCTTATCATCTTGGAAATGATGCTGTGTTTACCATAAAAACCACGCACCCATAAATGCGTTCTTGTGCTATGCCTGAAGTGCTGTTCACTTCGTAGTATTTTGAGATTCCCTGGAATCTTATCATGGAATTAAGGTCTTGATTACTCCCCATGAGTGCATCTGTTGGAATGCGTCTCAAATCGCTGTGTCTCATCGACATTGTCTAAGTGGTCTTCCCGAAAACATACTAAGGCCTTTTACACTATCCTGAAGTCTACATGAATCCCGGTATTTGTAATCCTCTGAAGAGATTATTTTCATGCATTAAAGTGGTCTAACATCTTTGCGTTTTGTTATTTTACTGTGTGGGCACCATGCCAAAAATGAAAACGAGTTTAGATGGCTACTTTTGGCTTCAGTTCTCCTTCAAAAAGCAGCTAGCTTTATGCGGTGTTTTATACAACGTCAGGCTCTTTCTATCCAGTTATCAAAGTATCATTGCACTGTCCTTATGCTTCTATTTGAGCTTGTTGTTTTTCGTGCTTCAGTTAAGCAACTTGGAATTCCGTGATCTCTGTGAGGTGTATGCTAGAATATGTGCATCAAATGAGGGTGTCTTTGGCTACGAGTTTCGCAAGCCAGAGAATCTGCCTCACTGGCATTCCAGGAAGGATACACAGAGAAGAATTCTTGGAAGCGCAATCACTGCTGAAGTTGTCCGGAAGGAAATGTATTCCTGACTTGCAGGACTCGTTGATATTACTTGTGTGAATTGGAGATTTAAATGCGTGACTCCTTTGTCTGTGAAAGGGAGGTGTGAGCGCACCATTCATTCCGAATGCACGTCAGAGTTGGAGAGCAGTGTTTAAATTTATCTTCATATCCTCTGGCTAACTTGACAAATGATTATGACTTTAAATGTAAAGTCTGCAGGGTTCCCTTTAGATTT